GTAAAATACAGCCAGGACTTGCCTGTAGGAACCAGATACAGCCTAGAGTAGCATTGCTGCAGGACAAACCAACCCTGAGGAGTAGTAGTCCGCACACTCAAGGACCAGGAGTGCCACAAAGTGCAGAGTTTCTGCCTCCAAGCAGTGCATCTGTTTTCTTCTGAACTAGACCAAGTATTTCAGTCAGTGAATCTCAGGGACTCTTCAGATACTGCCTCAGATAAATTCTAGCTACAGACAATGATTTTGCTCTACTAGCAAGATAGAAAAGTGGAGCATAGGTAGAACTTGGAAGAAACCTCTTTATAAGTAAGCCCTCCACAGCCAGAGAAATTATATGGGAGGCTGTACTTAACTACCCACAATCCATTCATCACCTAGACTTTTGATTACATCAACTTTTTTTTTTTTAAAATATCAAGTAATACTTAACACCTTGCTACAGAGCACACACCTCTGACCCCATATTGGGAAAGCCATTGCCTCTTCTCACAGCACAGAGGCAGACCGTTGCATGTCCCTCAACACACTCCGTAGACAGTACCAGTATGCTTATCTGAGAGTTCACTGTACCTACAGAAAGGCATCCTTACTGCACACTGTTCATTCAGTGCTTTTCTGGAGGAGATGAAAGGCCTGCTTTTCTTTAGGCAAATTGTCTGGGCTCATCACTAGAAGATTAGTAATCAACCTTTGCTTTATTGTTCTGGTAGCTCTTATTTCACTGTTATACATAGGATTTGGTTAAAAATATCAGAAACTCTCATTCTATTGTGTCCTGCTGATATTAGAGTGTCTTCATATATCTTAATGTAACTTGTTCCCACTAAACTGAAAAAATAGCAGCTGCAATAACATATAGGGTATGCATAAGGGCATCAGTGATTTTTGCCTAGCTAGATAAAATAAGTAGCCCTCCTCACTTCCTCCCTGTATAACACACACAAAAAACTGTTGTCCTTGGTATGCCAGTGTAAAGAAACCAACTTTGAATTTATCCATTTTACTTTGTGTTCTGAGAAAGTCAAATGCAGGACATTGGTCAGGTTAAAAAAAAACCTTACCACCTTATGTATAACATTTGTGGCAAACTAGCTCTCAAGTAGTATAAATTCATAGGGATTTATAGGCGATGGCAGACATGACATGATCATATACAGAAACTTCTGGCAGAATAATCAATAGCTAGAGAACCTTGTTAAATGAGACTGTAAGCCCATGTGCAGGCTGCATGCAAATTAGCTTATAAGAGTAGTTCCTACACAGCACTGTCTAAAATAGTTCAAAGATCCACACAACGATGTGGAATATTCCCATTGATAGATAACTAGATTTTTAAGGAAATATAATGCAGATAATTGTAGGGGAGAAAATACTATTTCATTAATGATTTAACTCCTGATAGAACCTTGCCTATTAGTCAATCTGGATTAACAAAATAATGAATATTTTCCTATTCCTTCCAGATTCAACTAGTAACTTTTTCAGGATAATCAGTAAGTTTGGTACTTGTATTTAATTTAAGCCTTCAGTTTTCTACATGAAGCCTCCTTGGATTTTTCTGTTACAGTTCTGAAACTTTTCTATTACTTTGAGCATCTAGACAGCAACACTACCTTAATTACATATAATCAGACATTAATATTGCATAATATCCCCATCCACTAATTAACTTAGGTGCAGTCTTGGGTCAGTCTTCTTTAATTAACCTTCAGTTGGTGCATAAGTAGAGTCTTTCTGATCACTGGGGGAAGTTTGCCATTGCTGTGCTTTTTTTGTCAAGCCATATATAACAGAGCTAGCACCAAGCATATATTGGAGAGATTCTCACGAGTGAACTACCTAGACATTTAGAAAGAAATCAAAGATTGCAGCAGACTTACCTGCCAGGCTGACAAGTCTGACCTTTGCAGTGCAATATCATGTTAGAGCTCCACCTTCTTGACTTCCCAGAAGTGGGCTGGTGTGACAGGTAGTATGCAGAATGCAAAGTCACCCTGTCAAAACCAGAAAGAACATTATAAAACATCCACTCATAGCAGCTATTTGCCAGTACACCTTTTCCGGGACAATCCCAGTTACATCATAAAGACTTTAAGTAATATGAATTTGCAGGCAGTTGACTGCCATTTGTTTGGCTTGCCATCTTATTGTACTTACCATGTCTAGTCTATTTATTTTTATAAAGCTTGCTAAAGAATTCTGTTTGTACCACTACCTAGAACATTTGTGCTCAAAAAAATTTTAGTAGTACTAAACCACTCAAGTAAAGGACTCCCAGTTGAATATTTTCCCTCTTGAACCTACAGCTCTACAGTTTCATCATAAATATTAATCCTTTTTTAAAAACAACGCAGTGGCATCTGTCAAGGGAAACATGGCTATCTCAGTTAAGCTACACTTATATACTGTAGGCTCATGCACAAGAGGCATTTTTCTCTCTGACAAACAGAAGCTCAGTAATGACATTTATAGTACTTTTCTTAAAGAAGAAGTGCACAAACATACTCAAGTAACTAGATGTACTCCGTGCCTTGCGTTGCACTACATTTGTTTTTAAAGTATCAACACTTAGTATAAGTTTAGGAAGTTGTAACATCACATAAGTATCCAGTGGAAGTTGACTGATAGCATGGACACAGGAGCCAAAAAACTTGTAGAACCATACCTCCTTGGAATTTTTTAAAAATTAAAACCCCTCTTTTAAGAGCCTTCCTTCTGACCTTCCAGGTGGGTTTTTTATTCAAATAAAGACTACTGACTTAATTTGATGGGGGCATTTGCCCACATTTGCTAGCAATCCTAAGTGTTATTCCTTGCTTTTTGCTTACCCAGAGCCATATATGGTATTACACTATGACCCCTTCATCCAGATTTCATGAAGTGCCCAATAAGCATAGCTCCCTGTTTTGGGCATTGCATGTTGATTGATTTGACTGTCCACGTCAGGTGTAAAAAAAGTTTTTAATTAGTGAATATTAGTAGCACATGCTCATTTCAGAGCTGTTCAACTAGGGATGTAAGGAAACTTTAGATTTGTTTATCTCTATTGCATAGGTTTTTGCTTAATTATGTTAACAAAACCCTTTTACTAACTTCTAGCAGCAGCACCCCACAAAAGCCTTTAAGACACTCGAGCCAGTGGTATCCAGTAGCTGGCCACTTGGACCCCTACAGGGCTTTTGATCTCATGTGTTTAGAGAGCATCTGGAGATGCACAGACAGTCAGAGATTCAGACCAAAGAAAAAAAAAAGCTTTGGCTGAAAAATGGAGTTTTCAGTTGTTACATAAAAAGTAACAGCTATGGATGATAGCTTATGAACTACTGGAATAGGCAGATGCTTAACATTTGCAAAACACTTTCCATCAATGTTCTGTAGATACTTGTGCTTGAGTTTTGCTGTGCAAGCAACAGTTTCAAGAAACTGAAAGATGATCTTTTACTTTTGCAGGAAAGCTTATACACAAAGCTATATATTAATACAACCAAAATTTTACATCTAAGCACATCATTTGAAGGTGAAAAGAACTGAGCTGTTCCACAAGGTGTTAGGAAAACACTTACCAAGATAAGTCATTTACCTGAGGCCATGCCACTTCAGAAAATATTTTCTTCCTATTTTCCTTCCAAGGAACATTCCCAATGAGTTGAGTCTGCTACAAACATGAGGGTCAAACCAAAGCAATATTGTATGTAGCTCCCACTAGAGTGGCCCAAGACTCCATTCAGAAGAAAGCATTCACATTGCAAAAACCTGTATACAAGCAACTTTGGCCTCTACAAGGCTTCTTATAGGCTGCGGATGCCTTCTTTTCAGCTCCACCCTTTAGGCGAAACACCTGTGCTCCTGCCCCATGTGCTCAGCCTCATGCTCCTTCCTGCAGTCAGGGTTTGTAGACTTTGTCACACACAGTTTGGAGATCAGAAAAATGCTGTGAGGGTCAAAGGTTATGAAAAATTAAAACAAAATCTAAAAAGAAAAAAAAAAATCTTCCAAAAAGGTCAACGTTAGCCCCTGTAAATTTCCACCTGCTACACAAAAATACATAGAATAATTATGATAAAGCCAAAGTTGCTTCATTTTAAACTCCAGTCAGGGCAAGGAGTGCACACAAAAATTTGTCTGTCCATTATAAGTCTTGTGAGTTGCTCTTCAGTCATTTAGTCAGAAATTTTTGAGCATCCAAAGAGAGTTTTTCAGGTTGATCTCGTCCAAGTTTTGAAATTGCAGGTTAGAGGCAATATGACCCTTCAGCCTGCAGTTATCTGATGGGAAGCACTCTAGAGCTACAACATAACATTCTTCTTCCCTTGCCAATTAGGGGCACAAAATCTTTTAAAGTGACCCAACTTGTCAAAAATCAGGGTTTCCCCCATGTTCCAAGCCATTGCAGATACAGGGAAGGAACTATTGTTCTTCACCACCAAAGTATGGCTTTTGCAACAATAATTTATTTAAATCCAAACTTTGACTAAAAAAGGTGTGGGTGAATGGAAAAGAAATGAATAGAACCTGTCTAGAGAGCGGCCTGTTCTCTGGAATCACAACATGTGAGTTTCATATATAATAATCTTTTATTTTAAAATGAATTTTACTAAACATGAAGACTTTTTTAAAATTTGAGTAGAAATGGGATGTTTCCAATCCAAGGATACATTATATGCATGTAAACTTAGCATAAGGACAAATGAGCCACATAACTCTTGCTAAGTAAATATTCCATGATATTAATAACACAGGAGCTATTTATAATTGAATCTTGTATTATATCTAGGTACCTTCAAAAGAGGAAAAAATATGCTGATATGGGAATATATGAAATAATATATTTTGGTCTTTGTGTATAAGGTTTTATATTTCAGGTGCTTGATTAACATACCTGTGTTTTCAGTTTCAGTTTCATGGAGACAGTATGACAAGCTTAATTAATCCTTGCATATGTTTCTCTTACTCTTTCAAGATTTTTCTTAAATTTGGACATTTTTTGTATTTTACAGTTCCCTCGTTTTGGGGTTTGGTGAACTCAGCTTGGAATCTTTGCTCTGTTGGGAAAAGACAGTCACCTGTCAATATTGAAACCAGCCATATGATCTTTGATCCCTTCCTAACTCCGCTTCGCATAAACACAGGGGGAAGAAAGGTATGTGTTCATATAAAAGCAAGAAGTTAATAGATTTACAAACATTTTGCTGTATTCTATATTTCTGAAGCGTTAACATTTTTATCTCAGGCACCTTTGAGGCAGAATAATAATAATGTAATCCTGTGCAAATCCCACAATTTCATCAGTGTTGGAGAGAGAGCAACCGTGCATTTTTAGGTATCTGCTAGCACATCCTTATGTTTTCATTTGAACTGTTACTTGAAACTCTTCTAGCTAGAAGAATAGCATCTCATTTGTAGGAACTGCATGTTAATAATTAAATTTGATGTTCGCCCTGAATGGTATTTTAAAGCTGCTACTCTAAAAATGTTGTTTAAGATGGCCAGAACCTTCTTTTATTAATCTCAATCAGGATAACCTTACCGTGCCATGATTTTAAGAGGCAGGGAGGGATGAATAAGCGTCTTCATACTATGAAATAAAGGGAGCTGTGTGTTCATACCTGAGCATAGGACAGGGAGACAGATATGTTCAAAAAGTAATCTAGTTTCCATCTTATTTAGAGAATATTGGCACTTAAGAGTCTTAACAACAAAAGTTTTATTGGACACCTCCTGACATATATTAATTAGAAAACAAAAGGACAACATTTATTTTAATAGGTCTTAAGTACGTCTCCAAGTATTTTGAATACAATGGAAATGATTGATAGGTTAGCAAAGACTACCTTATACAGCTAAAATCAACATGATCATTTCATGTTGAAAAGTGATTAGAATATCTGCCACAGCTCACTAGTTTATTAACCTCTGTTTCTGTGTTTTTAAACAAGGTTTATAAAAATCTATTCAGAAGAACCACATTTGGAAAGTATATCTTAATATACTGAGGTATGAAACCAGGGTTCTTTTCAGTTAGCTGATGTGTCTAGCAGTGGCTCAGGAACCTAAACTTCTAGGCTAGTCCATGTGGACTAAAGGTAGAGGCAGAAAACTATCGTGACAAAATGATGGTGTGCAAACAGGTGGAGATTATTGTCTGAGGTATGTGTACATACAGAAATACTATTGATAATGCTAATCAGTCATCATAGCCTCCTTTTTCTACACTCTATCTAATTTACGTTCAGTGCTAAAATTTTCACAAATCCCTAAACTCTATTTTGAGAAGTTATGTAAGTATGTGGAAGCTGAAGGGCCTTGATTCTGGTAAGTCTTGCTGAACTGGTTTTCTAAGTTATCATCCTCAATTCTCCATCAGATTACCATCACAGGTTACCATCTCCACAGCAGAGCTGGGAGAAGGAAATATATTCAGAATCTGGAAATTTAGCCTTCACTGGCAGTATAAACTAACCTGACAAACTAAAAAGCTTAAAATTACGGCCGCGAGATGTTTCCACCTTGCTTATTTTTTTAATTGTAGTAAAAAGTACAAGTCCATTAAATGTTTCTACAAGTTTTTACACCTCTGATAATGCAGCATTGTGCTACTGCATGCATATAAGGCAAAATAATTGACCAGATATTATTTATGGCTAAGAGTTTGAAAAACACTCAAGCATGTACATTTATGCTTGCTGACTCAGAGCTCATAAGCTAAATTGAAACTACTATATGTCAGTGCATACAATGAAAAAATTGCAGGAAGTTAACGTATCAAGAAGGAAAACAGATTTAGATCCCAAGCATATTTCACTTTTAATGAATATCACTCATGTGATATTAACAGCATAGTTAGGGGACATTTTACATACATGATTGTTAAAATGATTTTCCACATTGCAGAAGTGCTAGGTAACTCTTAAGAATTAAGTGCTAGTTAATTCTTTGCATTTATGTTTATTAAAAAATTATAATGAATATGCTTACTAAAAATAAGGAGTAGAGACAAATTTTAGAATTCAACAACAAAAAAATCAGCCATGTTCATTTCTGAGAAATACTTTCTTCCAAAATTGCCATTCAAAGAGAGGTAGTAATCTGAAAGCATTTCAAATTCAAACTGATGCTAATGATTATGTTTAATGATTTTTTTTTTTTCCACTAAAGAATGTAATCACAGTATGGAAGTTTAGGAGCAGTCCTCAAATAACCAAAGTATCAGTTCTGTTTATCCAACTGGAGGGTTGATATATTTCAATTCTAAAATTATTTTATAAATAGAATATCTTGAACCTGGTAGAGTTTGTTAGCACTCTTGAAAATAGTCATTAGTTCATAATGGGTTTTGCATTTTTTATCTTATATGGGGGTATCTAAAAAGGTATTTTAAATATTTTGTTGCTTAGTCTGTGTAGGCAGATCTCTTCTTTTATTCGGTCTTCTGTAATACATAGCAATGCAGATGAAAAAGCATTGTGACTTACAGAATAACCAATATCAGAACAAGCAGAGACTCTAACAAAAGGTTATTCCAAAATGATTTATCTTCTCCTGGCATCTTAACAAATGAGATTTCTACTGGAAACAGCATGAGATGTTTGGAATTTGCTCTGTTGTTCCCACTGAGGATCCGGTGGTTCATGTGCACATACCTCAGAATTGATACAAGCTTCGTAACAGAAATGATAAAATGGTGATATCGTTACTTACTGAAGGACAGTAGTGCTTCCAATTCTGGTCCACATTTCAAAGGAACATGTACATTTTCCTTTTTAAACAGAAAGACATTGAAGTTTTTGATTTTGATATCAAAGAAAGAGTTTTACTTATTCTGCTATTTATGCAATATCTGAAATATTTCAGATTATTTACAAATTACGCTATGACAGAATATGAAAGTCAAGAACAAAATTACATAGAAATTGTCAGTGAGTTGAAGCCAGGAGTTTTAGAATATTTAATATCTTTAACAATTCTAAGAATTTAACTGTTTTTGTGCCAGCTCAGCATGAAGAAAATGTCTGATTATTAATAAAACATTGGAAGCACTGAGGGCCTTGGAGATGTTATATCAGTAATGAGGTGTTCTTTTCACACTCAGAAATGGTATCCTGCTGATGTCAAGCAGTGATGGTCTTCTGTCAAGTTATGAGAACAGGATTTGTTCTAGTTGTATTTAGTCTGTTTTAGAGAGATTTCTAAAATAGTTGAATCAAAATTGTCCTTCGAGCAAAACATTGCACTTTGATGCTGTTAAAAAAATAATTCTTTGTTAAGGTTTCAGTGAGGATTTGATTTGGCAGGTAGTATATTTGTGTTCACTTTTTTTGGTACTGTTTCCTTTTATGTTCAAAATGGAGGTGTGTTTCATGTAGGCTGAAGCACCTCAATTTTCAGGGCAATGAACCAATTGATACAGCAGCCAGGGAATTTCTTAGGCATGACTTAACTGTGATTATGCTGTACACTAAGGGATTTTATCAAACTGATCCTAAGAAAATGATGAGCAAATGAAAAAGGAATTTGATATAGTTTCAAACCACAGTTACAACAAGCTAGCTTAGATGCATAGTGAACAACAGTCAAAACTATACACATCTTTTAAAAGGGGAGTTGGGAGGGGAGTCAAGCCTTAAGAGAGCAAATGGATGTAAGGAAGCTTTCGATAAAGTTATTCGTGGAAGAGTAACTTCAACTTTTTAACAAAGGTTTTTGCTGTTAAAGTAGAAATCAGCTTTACTTGAGTTCTGATTTTGGAAACAACATTTCTACTCTGTGTGCTTCACTTTTTTAATTAACTTCAGTAGGAACAGAAGAGGTTCACCCACGGAAACAGAATCCAAGCGCACGTCTAGAGCAATTCCAGTTACACAACTGGACAACATGCTCACAGGCTTATATTTCCTTTTATCTCTTCCATCCCTTAGCACTGCTTTCTCCTGTTGAATCTTTTGTTGGGGGGGGAACATTGGTTAATTTCTCTAAACTGGTTACCTGTGTTGGTCTGTATTTCCACAACATCAAACCAAAACCATTCCAAACCATTTCCTTTACATAATTTGTCTGGACTGAGGTTTCCACCTTCACAGTAGTATTTACCTTTCCAGTTTTCTATCAGAGAGCTTCTCTTATTTCAGTATTAATATTGGAAGGCATTTTAGTTATCTATATTGAGACTTTCCTCCATATTTTTAGACCAGCTGGGAATAAAAAAATGTATTTCCATGTTCCTAAAGAAGAGGAATGGTCCGAAAGCAGAGAATGGAGGAACAACATCATTGCCTTACTACCCCACAGTCTGCAAAGGAAAAGAGTACAGTCTGTGGCCTGTTACACAGCAGATGACTGACTAGTGACTTCTAACCATAGTATTTCTGAATTAACAAAAGAGCAGCTGAGCAAATTTAGGAGCAAATGGGATGGCAGTGCAGTCTGCCATATTTATACTGCTTCAATCCGATTTTCAAAATAAAGTTCCAGCGAGCAATAACATATTGCTTTATGTGCTGTCCAGTCATTGCAGTGCTGTATTGGATCATCCAATTTACAATGCAGGCATCTTCAGGTGTTAATTCTGAGTTGTGCTGTTATTTTGTATATTTGTGCATCTCTGTTTTCTGAGAAAGAGGCTTTTCAGGTCCTCAAGACTGACTGTCATTGATACAGATAATTGGATTTCAGGATCCAGAATTTCAGCACAAGGCTCTTAATGAGTTTGCATGCAGATAAATTCCCCAGAAGTGCTGCTGCTGAGGAAACTCCCCATGTTTCAGTTCTCTGTCAGTCCCAGCTTTGTCTCCTGATTATCCATTTTAGTGAATTTAAAATGCAGACCTTTTCAGATAAACAGTCCTTTTTAATAAACAAAACAAACCCTTATTAACATACAAATCACACTTTTCTGCTCTGTCGCAAAGAAAGATAGCGTTTTACTTGCTTTACTTCTTTTTCTTTGGGTTCACATGAGCACCAAGGCAATAAGAACAGGACAACAGAATAACTTTACTGAGAAGCTAGTGCAATCTAGTGGCATTTCTACAGAAAGCACTATGGATTCCAGTCTCCAAGGCAGGGGTTTCCAGCCTGTGCTCTGCATGCTGCTCACAAATCACCTCACAGTAGTATGTGACTTCACACTGAGCTAGGACTTCC